TATTAATAACCAAGTGTGTGTCAGTTACACGCTGTTTAATCTCTATATAATATTGGCAAAGGGATCTCTTTTTTGAATATAATAAAACCTCAAAATATTGTAAAGTATAGATGTTATAAAATTATGCGTAGGATATCTAAACGCAGATATTTTATCAGCTTCTCGGCATTTTTAGTTGAATGCGTAGTGAAAGTAATTTTTCAAAGATGTCAATATCTTCTACTCTAATATGTTGGCATGGTCATACTGATAATGTCGCTTTGTACATCTCACTCCGTTGTCCGAAATATTGAGGTTCGCCATAAACAAAAGATACTTGAGCCGTATCACGACAAAACCAACATAATGGGTTTGCGACCAGCATGGATCCAGACCAGCCTGCGCATCCGCGCAGTCTGATCAGGATCCATGCTGTTCGCTATCAGTTTCTCTACTTGTTATAGGGTTTGTAAGCGAACAGCATGGATCCTGATCAGACTGCGCGGATGCGCAGGCTGGTCTGGATCCATGCTGGTCGCAAACCCATTATGTTGGTTTTGTCGTGACACGGCTCATTTTATGATTATTATATTGAAATAATGGCACTATAATGGTAAAATAATGGTACGACTAAAGTGTCAAGGTACCAGATGTTGTTTCCCGTTACGAATGATTTATTTTAAATTGTGCTTTGAGTAATGAAATTTCGTCGTGTCTTACGTTACGGCAAGACAAACCATTTCTGTTTATACATGACATGGCATTTATTGCATATCAAAATATGACTATTTCGCTAAAAAATCTACACTTTTGTTTCCTTAAGCAACATACGTTAATTTTTTAGGGTCATTAGAATTGTAAAAGTCATAGACAGCTCTTTTAGAAATGAATATGTTTCGATGGCTTCACCAAACTTCTTAAGATCAGACAATTTCTGCACGCATGAACGCTTGAAAAATATATTAAAACACTCGAAGTATCATTCTGTAATTTGGCAAAAACTCAATATTTCAAGTATTTTACATTTTCTCTCAACAAACACGTGTATAAGTACTTAGAAAACTGTAAACACTATCTGTAGATCTCAAACGGCAGAATATTAATTCCAGATACATATCTGCATCTTGAAATCTAATATTTACATTTTACAGCGTATTCAAAAAATTTCTCATCTTAAAACTTGTTATAAAAATTGAAGGGCGAAAAAATTAGTTTACAGTAATTATTCTATAAGTCTGGTATTGGTGTGAGGAAATTTCCTATATTGTTGTCCTAAGTATTTAACATGATTTTTTTCCATAAATAATTAAGGACGTTTCATGGCAATTTGAGCATTTTTGTTTCCTTTACTTCCTTTGCCTTTACTTCTAGTTTGATAATTTTTAAGTAGGACAAAACTATTTTAATTTTACGTCTTTAGAAAGTACATAAGCAAGTGTGAACCATCTATTCCCCTTATCTGTTTCACAATAACAAGATATGTTTGTAAAACATGTATGCCCCCTATCGGCAGCCAATTTGTCATGTGATCAGGTTATTATGCATGACTTCTGACCCAGTGAACAAGCAATTAATAAGGGTAATCTAGTATCTACTGGTCATGACTAGTCACAAGGTAATAATTATTGTGACCCCATAGGTTGTGTGCAGCAATTCAAGTTATTAAAAATCTTACCAAAAAATATATACATAAATTTTATGAATCACATAGGCCTCATTAATGACAGCCAAGTTGTTATATTACGTAATACCTTCAAATGTGTATACCAAAAGCACATAGAAATATCAACCAAGGCAACTTGAGTTGTTGAGTTATTGGTCAGAAACGGTCATTACGTACAAGGTCACTATGACATTGACCCCTTGACCCCAAAATCAATAGGGGTGATCTACTGGTCATGACCAATCATCATACCAAGTTTGAAATTCCTAGGCATAAGCATTCTTTAGTTATTGATCAGAAACCGTTTTTACCTACAAGGTCAATGTGACCTTGACCTTCCCCCTTGACCCCAATATCAATAGGGGTCATCTGCTGGTCATGACCAATCATCTTACCAAGTTTGAAGTCTCTAGGCCTAAGGGTTCTTTAGTTATTGATCGGAAACCGTTTTTACCTACAAGATCAATGTGACCTTGACCTTTGACCCCTAAATCAATAGGGGTCATCTGCTGGTCATGACCAATCATCATACCAAGTTTGAAGTTCCTAGGCCTAAGCGTTCTTTAGTTATTGATCGGAAACCGTTTTTACCTACAAGGTCAATGTGACCTTGACCTTTGACCCCTTGACCCCAAAATCAATAGGGATCATCTGCTGGTCATGACTAATCATGATACCAAGTTTGAAGTACCTAGGCCTAAGCGTTCTTTATTTATTGATCGGAAACCGTTTATACCTACAAGGTCAATGTGACCTTGACCTTTGACCACTTGACCCCAAAATCAATAGGGGTCATCTGATGGTCATGACCAATCACCATACCAAGTTTAAAGTTCCTAGGCCTAAGGATTCTTTAGTTATTTATCAGAAACCGTTTTTACCTACAAGGTCAATGTGACCTTGACCTTTGACCCCTTGACCCCAAAATCAATAGGGGTCATCTACTGGTCATGACCAATCACCATATCAAGTTTGAAGTTCCTAGGCCTAAGCGTTCTTTAGTTATTGATCGGAAACCGTTTTAACATACAAGGTCAATGTGACCTTGACCCCTTGACCCCAAAATCAATAGGGGTCATCTACTGGTCATGACCAATCACCATACCAAGTTTGAAGTTCCTAGGCCTAAGGGTTCTTTAGTTATCACTCGGAAACCATTTGGTCTACGGACCGACGGACTTACGGACCGACGGACCGACAAGTGCAAAGCAATATACCCCCTCTTCTTCGAAGTGGGGGCATAATTAAGATGACCTTATCTGATATGGAGTCCAATCTGACATTGTCTACTGTAAAATCACCAAAACAAAAAGTACCAGATTCGCACGTACAGCCCACATTTTACAATAAGTACGGTAATAACGTTTATAAAGCGGGAACTATCTGAAAGCGTTGCCAAATTACAATCTAACTTTTTGCTTCATTAACATCTCTTCAACTGATAAAATCTTCTTTCTTATGTTTAATAACTGAATAAATCTGTTCTCAGTCCTCAAACCCAGGTTACTCATTATTAAGTCAAGTACCCTAATATCTGTTTCTAAGCTCTTTATGAGCACTTTTTGTAAAAACTGAGATTGAATTTTTAAGTCCAAGCGTTATCGTGATTCTAGTGAGATATTCTTGCTGAAAGCACGTTTCAAGAAATATTATCATACAGAATAATATTATTATATTAAATAAATTAATAGATCGCATTTAGATGGGAAAATTATGCAAGGCTTGTGGTTAACGGATCTCAATTATTTATTTCTTCATTCGCCTGCACAGATATTCAAAGCATTCTAATGGAAAAAAACAGACTGGGATACAAAGAGTTTTATAACACATTTGCATTACATAATTTGCTTCATCATAAAAATGCCAAACGTGATCATTAAGAAATCTTGCCAGAATTAATTATCTTTTATCACTTGCATAAATATCTTAATTGTTATATATATGGAACTGTGGTTAGACATACACCATAGGCAGTATATATAAAGTTAATGCGGTAAGGCCTAGGGGTGCAGTTGTTAGTGCGTTTGCTAGTTATCATTAAAGGAAGGGGTATAGAGCAAGGGATTATTTTCCCGCCTTTTTTCTCATGGGCAATCATTAGATAATGTTCGAACCAGCGACGTACCAGTTACATTAAGAATGATATCAGGTCCCAATCTATGATATATACCTTGGGGCCGATGAAAGTTGTGTGTACGGGAGATGGTCGATCGTGAATATGTTTAAAATAGAGATATCTCGTACGTCCTTTCAGAGGGGTCTTTGGAGTCTTCAGATTACAAAAACATTACTAAGGAGACAGAAAAGAAAAAATGTACTTTAGCTTCTTTCCCAATTAGTAAATCCGTGGTTGAGTGGTTTCTTTTTTAGTTTAAACTATGTCAAGTTTGAAATGTGCATAATTACATAACAGTATAATCTTTCAGCTGCTTCGAGCGATGTGTTGCGATGGCTATATGTATTAATATTGAACAGCGGATAGTTCACAGGGCAATCTTGATAGGACATGGGAAACAACTCATGAATTTGATCACTATTATTTGGATACGAGTTTCTCTCCCTTACTTGTGTAATTCAAGGACACTGAGGTGAATGTGCGGTTATCACGATATGCGTTAATTAAATCACAAAATTATTTCACATCGAGTTTTAATTACATGGAAATGCACGAACACAATGCATGATATTGTCACATAAATTGAAGTTTTATTGATTTGAAATTATGAAAGTAAACAACATTGAAACAGAGTTCCATTACAGCAGAACCATGTTATTGTCTGCCATGAAATGCAATATGTTTTGCTTCACTGCCATGATTAAATCATGAAATTTTTCATCCATTTTTTTTCTGTTGTGTTCATATCCAAATTACTTCACGTAAAATCAACTAACAATGAAGTATTTGTATATCTTTTGGTAAAATGTTGCTGTGCATTCCATTGAGATTGAGACCGCTACTTAAGTGGAATTCATAGTAAATTATCACATCATGATCTGGTGTTTAAAACTGGAAAAGTGATTTGAAATTATCTTAGGAACTAAATATCATAAAGAAATTAGAAATAATGTGTGAAAATATGCAAACAAAAAACATCATCATGTTAATAGGAAAGGGTGGGGAATATCGTAGATCTATTTAGTATTAGTATTTAGTTAAATGTTTTATACACCTTGTAACATTTCTTCAAAGATGTGCAGTTTTAAATCACATGAAATTTAACCTAAACAAAGGCCATATATAAAGCTTTTGTTAAAAATATGTACATGCAAAATGTACAAATAAATGCAGGCTGTAGATGCAGAGACATAGATAACATCTACATCTCTGGTATGTGTCAATTAAGAACAAGAAAGTTACCACAGTTCAAAGTATATTTTTTTTACTAACAATATCGCTACAAGTTCTGTTTAAACTTAACTAAATAAAGTTACAAGTCGAGAAAAGAAACAACAACAATAATCTAAATATATCATACCACAGCTTGTATCACATTTAAATTAAAATGTACATTGCTTTTATAAAGTAAAATTTTCAAAAAGCAAAATCTTAAAACAACCAAGGTTGATTTAGAACCACATTTGTATTTTTAGCCATTGATTGTGTGATATGTGACTATAAAAGCAGATGCTATAGGGATGTGAAAGATTCTACATCCTTCATTATATCTCATGAACAGACTAAATTAAACATGTCTGCAATGTTCACCTGTTAATTTTCATATTTAACAGGAATCATGTCTCTCCAGAATTATATAACATATTATAAATATTTTTCAGTAGCAGTCAATCTCCAAAATGCAATGCCATCTATACAAAAGTATGCCATCTATATTAATTTTTGCCAGCTTTTACATTTGTGAAGCTTGACCAAACTTTTTTACTGCCAGAATGCTGAAATTCTTGATTTTATCTACAATTATCATAAATTTATGGTGGAAATCATAAAGAAAAAGAGATGGTAAACATCATAATGTAATGGTGAACATCATAAAGTAATGGTGAACATCATAAAGAAATAGTGAACATCATAAAGTAATTGTGAACATCATAAAGTAATTGTGAAAATCATAAAGTAATGGTAAAAAATCATAAAAGTAATGGTGAACTGACAGAACATCATTAAGTAATGGTGAACATCATAAAGTAATGGTGCACATTATAAAGAAATGGTGAACACGATAAATTAATGGTGGACATCATTAAGTTATGGTGAACATCATAAAGTAATTATGGACATCACATAAGTAAAAATGTTGATGAACCTAAAGAATTTAATAAAGGACAAGTTCAGTATTTGTTGCCATTAAAGTGTTCATAAAAAGGCGGCGGAAACTAGAGATAGGAAGATAGCAGCATACTTCTTGAAACTAGAAAATTCATGACTATATTCTTACATCCATTGACAAAACAACACTTGTGTAATAAAAAAAATAGAATAGATAGAACGTGACAGTCAGGGAAGTGCAAGAACATAAAAGAGTTTAGTAGAAATTGTAACATTAGTGTGTACTTATTGACTAGTAATTAACACAGTACAATAGACAATTACAGGGTAAACTGCTTATATAACTGTGTACATACTGCTAATTACAGGTTTCATGATTTCAGGCATTATCAACATTTCTACCAAGTATATAGCCTTATAAACAAGTGTGTATCTAATGATCGACAGTTCTAATGAATAAAAATATCCTCACATCATGTTTGTCTACACTTTGCTTTTAAGTATGTACTTTTAGCTATATTATTGTCTGATATAACTATATAAATTGTGTTTTTTTGTTGTTCATACTTCAAAGAATATATACTAACATCTAACACAGAAATTGTTGTATAACGAGGGTAATTTACGACATCAATGTACTGTTGACTTAAATTTAAAACTTACTGTTCCCATATATTTTAAAAACAATTATTTTCTCACTCTTTCTCTCTCTATTCCTGACAATTGACTATATGTAAAACTGTTTGAATGATTGGTATCAGTAACAAAACAGAAGTAAATAAAATTGAAACATAATGTTTTATAAATGCCTTGTTAACGATTGTACATTAAGAAATGGGTAATACCCATTCAATACCTAGGGGCAGTACATGAAAATTATTTTGCTATATCTCAGAACATTTCAATATCATTATTGTATTTTCATTTCATATTTTTATTTTTTTTATTTTTCAAATCCTGTATGAAACTCAATCAAATCAACTTGACAAAAAAGTTAAACAATTTTTTCCAGCTGTTGATATAACACATGATCATAGTAAATACTAGTAATTTAATTAACTAGGATATTGATCTATTGAGCAGAAACTAGATTCCATGGGGAAATCTATTTTCAATGTCAGACCAATGTAATAACATTTCAATTTTCAAGTAACACTTGCATGAGATTTTTTTCAATTGTTTTCTCTGGGAAATAAGATTCAATATAAGATAACATTAGTTTGTTGATTACATCTTCCATTTCAGTCTATTCACGTGAAATATTGTACAGCATATGTAATGTATTACAATAAATTATTATACAATCCAATGTTTAAACTTATTGCATACAATCAAGAATATTTGTATTGTAACATCAATGCATGATCTTCAAAGTCCCTTCATAAACTCAAAAGCACGTCCTTACTTTACAACAATGAAAAGTAAGAAAATAAAACTTTAGACTTATGCTGCCCTCACACATAAACCACGACCTTACTGCGACCTGAAAACTAGTAAAATAGCATTTTTCTTTCGAAAATCGTTGGTTTTCTTTCAAATTTCCAAATTTCTCTCGCAGAAAATTTCTCTCGCAGACGGTCCGGGGCTCTGCAGTCTTGTGTTCAGTACGTTCTCAATACGACCCTTCTACGTCCATGGCGTTTCCACTGCGACTGTATTGCGTCCCAAAGGCGACCCATCGGCGATCATCGGCGACCCAGCTGCAACTGTGCCATGTTCTCTGCGTCCTTACGGCGACTCTACGACGAATATTGCGTTTGTCCGGCGACTGTCCTGCGACTGTACGACGACCCTACTACGTTCTTGCGACCAAACCAGGACTCAACAAGAACGCAGAGTTTCTGCGACTGTTTTGTGCATGTTCAAAATAGTCGCCGACGGTCTGCGACCTTGTGCGTCCTTGGGTTCCTCGCTACGACCTCGCTGCGTCCCTGCAGTTTTGCTGCGTCCATGGCGACTGTGCTGCGTCCTGTGTCGTAGCAAGGTCGCAGTAAGGACGCAGTAAGGTCGCGAGGTATGTGTGAGGGAAGTATAAACAACATTGTCTTTGACCTTAAAAGCCTTCTAAAGAGTGCAAGTCCTTGGAAAGAATCATCTCGACAAATTTATTTAGTATCAGTCAATTAATGAAAGCAATGTGTGGACAAGTAAGTGAGTGAAATTGAAGGGAAAACAACCAACTTTGAAAAAAAAAAAAATTTGAACACCAAAAATTCACAAGTCTATAAAAGGAAGAAATATTAAACCAGATCTTTTATAAAGCAAGTTTTTACAAATAAATGAGGTAGAGATTATAAAATAGGAGCTAAATAAATATAATTAAGAATAATATATTTACCAAGATATAAAAAATGAGAAATATAAAAGATTTCAACCATGTTTATGTAAATACAGATCTATATGAAGAATTCATTACAAAATATAAAAGTAACAGTCAAGAAAACATAATTATATCTTAAGTTACAAAAAAAAAAAATGTTTTTGTTATTTGATAATTCAGACCATGATCATTTTAACCTCTTAAACAATAAATAAAAGATATGATATTTTAAAACTGTTTCTAGACTATTTCAGAATATGCAAACAAGACCATGATTATATAAATATATCAGCACTATGTCCCAGAATTATAAATTCAATTAAAATTCCAAATGTATTTCCAATCACAGACCGTAATGCCACAATGTTAACTTTATTAAAAAATAACAACACCAACGCTATTGTCACTAAATCAACATAAATATACCAGTCCATATAAAGTCACAAAAGAAAGTTACTATGAACAAATATAATACATAATAATATGATAATTAAAACAGCCATCACAGTACATTATAACACAGCATACAAAAAACAATAAATGCCTGAATATTTATTCTAAATAAATAATGCTTCATAATACATAATTTCTCTCCAAGTAAATTCTTGCATAAAGTAGAAATGAGTTCATACCACACTGATGGTCCCACTTCATTTGCCTTCCGCACTTGCATATTTACATACCTATACACATCTTATAAAGGTCAAGTGTTAATTTTAATAGGCAATATAAATAGTAATAGTATTACAACTATTTTATTCCCACACATTAGATTAAGGAAATTCATGTTATTGATTACACTAGCATTTCCCATCATGTCACTGTGACCTTGACCTAATTAAGGACCTCTTACTAGCCATGGGCAATGTCCTTACCAAGTTTATTAAAGCAAATCTTATTCTTTTAAAGTTATTCATCAAACAAGAATTTTACACAAAGTGTAACCATGACCTTGACTTTTGACCTAATTACCTCTAAATCATAAGGGGTCATCTACTGGTCATAGGAAATGTTCCTAGAAATTAACATAAACCATGGCTTATTTCTATTCTAGTAAATGATTGAACAACAGACATATGTGTGCATAAAAACCACCCCATCACAATATGCCTTTTTCTTTATAAGTGAGGACATAAATTTTTGCTCACAACCTTTAAGATACTGATTCACAATAAGAGAAAATAGGTCAGTATAAAATCATCTGCTGTGATTCTTACATGACATTTATTTTATCATTTGATACTGTTTAAAAAAAAATTGTTTTCCAATGAAAAATTCCATTTTGGTTTCATGTTTTCAACGTTTTTTTAAGTATATCTGTAACGTGAATAAATAACAAAGTGTATTCAAATGCCTTATTTTTCAAATAAATCTTTGTTTGCCTTTTTTTAGTAACTTTCAGTAAAAGGTTACAATTCAAAGCTACGAAAATACAATTTAAAAATGAACAGAGGCATAGCAAACTATACTAAAAATGATAAATAAATACTGTTTTATTGAAACATAACTTAAAAAGTTCAATAAAAACCAAGTTTGGAATGCTGCATCATATTCTAGCTAAAGTAATTTTTTCTCAATAATAATTCCCTGATATATCTATATGTTCACAATCATTATAATTATTTTTATGATGTCATGTGTTTATTTTTGATAATATACAAGATGTATTACTTCTACTCAATTACTAAGAACAACCTGTTAAATAAAGATTTGGCTAGCTTATATAAATACTTTGCCCAGAAAAAGTTTTTGATTCTAAAATGGCTCTCCATATATAATAGAAAACCTTGGACCCGGTCTATATGTATAGCCAATATAATATATATTATAAAATAAGATCTGTCACCACAGGGGATTCTTCTTAAACATGCCCTTCCAGTTGACATTCTCAGCATCCTTTAAACGTTTTCCCAGAAACTCTAACATTTGTTCTACCTCCTTCATCTCCTAAAAATATACACATTAAACATAGTGATGATACAATTGTCATTCCTAACATTAAGTAAGTTGAATGTATTAAAGTATTCTTGTTTTCTTATTTGTTGGTTTGTTTTTAACCCCGATTTTAACACATTGTTTGGACATATCTCGGCTGTCAGTTCACTCACAGCTTTCCTGGATAACTAACCAGCAATTAAATACTAATTCCACATATTTTTTGAATCAGCAATGAGAGACCAATAATCATTAAACTTGATGTCTGAGATCTATTGTCAAAGATAAATTTTCCCCAGAGAACCAAACAGGCTGGCACCACTCTTCCTTGAAGCTGAGTATAATGAACATTTGAGAAAAAAATTAATTAATCTACTATCTAAAGCACAATTTTGTTTTCTTTTCTTCGTTTTCCCCTATTATAAAGGGAAACTAGCTATCTATCCATTCATACTTCTTATCAATACAACATGTCACTGCAGCAGAAAAGATCTGCATTTTATGGAATTCAAAATATAAAACTAAAGCTTACAAGCATAAAATAGACACAACACTTCAACCCTAAGCCTGCTGGAACAAACAGTGATTTTACTTTGCAACTAGTACAGAGCCAGGCAAATTGACAAGGGCCTATGCTGTTGGCAGCTTAACTTTTATTTTTGATATTGAAAATAATTAAGTTTAAGTGGCCATAACTTTATTTCCATACGGTAAAGTTTGTACAGGTGTCCTTTAAGGTATATATCTGACCTATGTTGTCAAGTTTTCAGTTCCTAACAGTGCCCATTAGGATGGTCATACCTTAAATGCACATTATGCCTCCAAATCAAACTAGAACTATCACTAAATGTGATTAATACCCCCGCAAGACTGCTTCGGAAATGAGGATGTTACTAGTAACAGAATACCTTGTAAAACAATTGAAATACAGTTATGGTTGTGGGCAATTAAAGATAGTTGTGGTTCTTGTATGTTGCATTTCCTTTCAATGTGGTTGGCCATTGATGAAGTTTTATTGAATTACATGAATAAGTCCAGAAAGACAAGGAAAAGGAACAAAGGGCTTTTCCAAAGGGCAATAACTTTATAAATACTGAAGATGGAGTTATGATTATTGTACACTGCACTTCCTCTCATTGCACTTGACAATTGTATAAAGTTGTATTGAATTCCAACTACAAGTTTTCAAGTTATGCACAGGACAAAAAAGTAACAAAGGGCAATAACTTTAATTAGTCCAAGTAGAGTTATTGTTCTTGTGCACTGCACTTCATCTCACTGCCCTTGACCATTGTATAAAGTTTCATTGAATTCCAACCATTACTTTTCAAGTTATGCACTGGACAATAAAAAGTAACAAAGGGCAAAAACTTTTAAATGAGTCCAGAAAGAGTTATGATTTCTGTACACTGTGCTTCCTCTCAATATAAATGAATATTGTATGAAATAGTATTGAATTCCAACTCGTAGTTTTCAAGTTGGACAAGAAAAAAGCAATGGAAAAGTAACAAAGGGCAATAACTCTATAATTACTCTGGACAGAGTTATAGTTCTTGTGCACTGCACTTCCTTTTAGTGTGCTTGATCATTGTATGAAGTTTTTTGGAATTCCAACCAGTACATTTTAAGTTATGCTCTGGACAAGGAAAAGTAACAAAGGGCAGTAACTATGTAATTAGTCAAGATAGAGTTATGGTTATTGTGCACTGCACTTCCTCTCAATGTGCTTGACCATTGTATGAAATTATATTGAATTCCAACCATTAGTTTTCAAGTTATGGTCCGGACAAAAGAAAGCAATGGAAAAGTAACAAAGGGCAATAACTCTGTAATTCTGTAATTACTTTAGAAAGAGTTATGGTTCTTGTGCACTGCACTTTCCCTTATTGTGCTTGACAATTATATGAAGTTGTTTTGAATTCCAACCAGTAGTTTTCAAGTTCTGCTCCGGACAAGGAAAAGTAACAAAGGGCAATAACTCTGTAATTAGTCAAGATGGAGTTATGTTTCTTGTTCACTGCATTTCATCTCAATGTGCTTGACCATTGTATGAAGTTATATTGACTTCCAACCATTAGTTTTCAAGTTATTCTCTGGACAAGGAAAATGCAACGGACCACTGGACCGACTAACCGACCGACCACCGGGTGACTCCTATATACCCCTCCAAACTTCGTTTTTGGGGGTATAATAAATTTTTACTTTTGTAGAAAGGGCAAACATGAATTTAATAATGTTTAATATAATGGTTTTAGAGAATATTAGATGCTTGTTACCTGAAAAAAGTAGCAATGAATGTAAAATAATTTGTCATATAAGTAGAAAAATATAAACATAGTAGTATTTTGACTCCCATATAAAATACTCAATCACTATAACTGTACTAATTGCCGAAAAGAAAAAGAAGAAAAAGATGGTTCAGATAATTTGCCAATGAGTAACTTTCTGAAAACTATAGAGTAGAAGTAAAGTAAAGAAAAGTAAAAAGCTTTTGAGAAATAAAATTAAAAGCAGTTCTGGGAGACTGTTTCATATTCAAAAGCGGACAAATTCATCACACAAATTCTGCGGATTAAAAGTCAAGTCTCTGATCAATGATGCAGTTATAAGAAATTGTATATTATTATCAATAGAGATCGATTTGCACTCATAAATAACACATTACTGTAAATATTAATGTACAATGAAATAATTGATTATCATACTTGAAACAGCTGATATATTATAATACCCATTAGAATGAAAAATTGATTTTATGTAAAAACCACATATATGTGTAGCTTCAGTAATGACAACAAAATTTCGTCTCAAAAAAAAGGAAAGCAAGTTTATTATAAAATTTAAGCATGTTTAATGCTTTTCACTTTTATTAAGAAAAATCACTAAATGTGAAATAATTTGACATTAAAGCAGCAAAATGTTAACAAAATACATTTAGTATTTTGACCTTCGTACAAAATCATTATAATTTACTAATGGTGAAAAAACATTTAGCAAAATCAAGGAACAGGGATATGGCCAATGAGTACCATTCTGTAAATTGTAACAATACACTGGAAATAAAAAAAACTTTTTAGAAATTAAATCATTTTTTGGGGCTTAGTCGGCCTTTTATTAAAACTTCATTAGCAGGAACATCATCTGACTATATTCTTAACTTCTGAATATAAAATAATTGTCATAGAAATATATTCAATCATTAATTTTCCTTCTTTGTTTTCGTAAATTATACATCAGGTCCAAATTCTTGAAAAACTAGAACCCCATGTAATGTGAACAATCAACTGTTGAGTGCAACCAATTATGACAAATATTCTATGTTAAAGAGGATAACACCAAACAAGAGGGCCATGATGGCCCTGAGGTCGCTCACCTGTATATAGGCCCCCGGAGCGGGGCCAGTTTAAACCCCAGGGCTTTTATTTGAACAAACTTACAAGACACCCATTAGAAGATGTTTCATGATGTTTAGTTTTTACTACACACATATAATGTAAAACAATGAACAATGACCAGCCCCCCCCCCCCCACCAGGGCCAATTTTAACCCAAGGGCTTTTATTTGAACAAACTTGGTAGACAACCATAAGAAGATGTTTCATGCTAAATATCTAAGCTCTAGTTCACTGGGTTTTTTAAAAGAAGATTTTGATGTTTTTACTATACAAATATAGTTAAAAACATTGACACCCCAGGGGCGGGGCCAGTTTTGACCCCAGGGCTTTTATTTGAACAAACTTTGTAGACACTTACTAGAAGATGCTTCACGCTTAATATCTAAACTCTACCTATTTGGATTTTTTCAAAGAAGATTTTTAAGTTTTTGCTATACATATAAGGAAAATCAATGACCCCCGGGACGGGGCCAATTTTGACCCCAGGGAGTTTATTTGAACAAACTTGGTAGACACCCATTTGAACATGTTTCATGCTAAATATCTTAGCTCTAGCTCTTTGAGTTCTTTAAAAGAAGATTTTTTAAGTTTTTACTATATGCATATAGGGAAAATCAATAACCCCCTGGGGCGGGGCCAATTTTGACCCCAGGGCTTTTATTTGAACAAACTTGGTAGACACTCATTAGAAGATGTTTCATGCTAAATATCTTAGCTCTAGCTCTTTGGGTTCTTTAAAAGAAGATTTTTTAAGTTTTTACTATATGTATATAGGGAAAATCAATGACCCCCTGGGGCGTGGCCAATTTTGACCCCAGGGCTTTTATTTGAACAAACTTGGTAGACACTCATTAGAAGATGTTTCATGCTAAATATCTTAGCTCTAGCTCTTTGGGTTCTTTAAAAGAAGATTTTTTAAGTTTTTACTATATGTATATAGGGAAAATCAATGACCCCCTGGGGCGTGGCCAATTTTGACCCCAGGGCTTTTATTTGAACAAACTTGGTAGACACTCACTAGAATATGCTTCATGCCAAATATCTAAGCTCTAGCTCTTAGGGTTTTTTAAAAGAAGATATTTAAAGTTTTTTCTTTCGGTTGCCATGGCAACCAGAGTTCTGCATGGAATTAAATTCTTTAAACAATTTTTAAAGGTGACCACCAAAGGAACATTCCTGTGAAGTTTGGATGAAATTGGCTTAGTGATTTATGAGGAGATGTCATTTAAAGTAAAAGTTTACGGACGGACGGACGACGGACGGACGCCGGACGAAAAGCGATCACAAAAGCTCACCCTGTCACTCTGTGACAGGTGAGCTAAAAATATAGCTTTCAGAATTATGCCTTTTATCCATCAACTGCACCTTGTCATGATAAGCAATTATTTTAAGTTTAATATTGATAACTTTTTAAATTTTTTGAATATTTGGCTACATTAACAATTTTGCACGAAGACAACAAAAAACAAAGGAAAATAAACAAAAAAACAGATAGGGTAAAAAAAAAATTTATGTTAAACTTTCAACTTTGATGTGTGAGTAAACGGCTTGGTTTTTAAAATATTGCCAATTTTCATGAATCAGTAACAAGAAAGAGCTTGTCAATGGTATATTATACATAATACTTTACTACAATAAATATGCTTACCCTGTTTATTTTGTCATTTCTCCTTTGTTTCAGGTCTGGTGCTGCTGCCTCTAGTTTCTCAATCTACAAAATAAAATACTACTAAGTATGCAATAAATAGAATTGAATTTTGAACTATGTACTGAGAGTTTAGGGATTTCATTAAAGATATAAAAATTTAGGTTAACAGTATCTGGCAAGATCTGTGTACCAATGAAAATACTGAAAATATGTTTCACAGCAGTGAAAATAATTTTTTACAGTGAAAATACAGGAAATAAATTTAACTGTACACATTTTATTTCATCAATACATTTCATTTACAAGTATATGATAAAGTGTATACTAACCCTTTTGGTTATTTCTGTCAACTTCTCTCTGGTAGTTTCATTATAATTTTTGATTTTTATACTTCTTGGCTGGGCTTGAACTGAAGACATAAAGTTAATACATATACATAAACAAGATTCAAAGTTTATTCAAACATTTCAGAAATTTCTGAACAGGTGCATTTATGTTACAACTTTTTAGTGTTTTGAGACAGATTTATATAATAGTGTGTGTTTCTATTAGTAATTATTGTTTTTCTAAACTTGGGAGATGACAGTCATTATGCCACTGATAAGGCCATTCTTTACTGGTTATGAAGGTTCTCTGGTTCCCTGACAAGCATTTATTTCAGCCCACATGTAACCAAGTAGAACCACTAACCTCCTTTTAGCTGGTTGGCTAGCTCACATGTATAATTTTCTTGAAAGATTGGAACAAACAATGAGGAACAAGTCAGTCACCTTAACCACTTGATCATGGAAGCCCCTTATAATGATTAAGTTGCATTGAAAATTTAATTCTAATTGTGTTTGCAATCCTGCACTAAAAAGTAATTTTTCTGAGGTTTCATATTGTGACAAAAGGGAACATGTTTTTATTTTTGTTTATGATACAAAATAGAAAGAACATAAAAACAATCGGGAAGCTAACTTATACTTGGGCTGTGCCCCCTTGTACAAATCAGATAGCCTAATGTTTCGATGCTCTTTCTATTACTTGTACAACATTATGTAGCTCAACCAATCATCATTAAGAAGCTAAATTTAATAAGATTGTTTAAATACCAGATCCATAACAATCCATAACAATATGAAGCAATGTGTAAACATCCCAAATACTTAAACTGTTACCTGTATAATGTAAGTTTTCACTTCTGTAAATTTTCTTTAAAACAAAAATTAAAAACAATCTTTTATCAAATTGTGTATGATTGTATACTGTGATAATTAATATAGTCAATTGATCTGGAAAAAATACAAATATATATAAACTTACTATTCTGATGTACTTTAACAACCTCTAATACATAAGGCCTGTAAATAGAGCAGACATGCCCAATTAAAAATATAGATAAATAAATAATTTAAAGAAAACAGTATGCAAATTATAACCGTATGAATTACAAAATTACGATGCTTGATTCAAAATGGTTTATACATTCTATTCTCTTTTTGAAACAAAAACATTTTGTAAGAAGTGGACAAAAACATTAAAACACAGTGATTTACAAATTAGCGTAAATGTATGTGACATAGTCACATGGTAAACCATAATTATGCGAGATATCACAGGGTTCAACTGTTACTAAATGTTATCATTACTATACTGTAATGTAAAGATTCTTTTCAGTTTTGTGATAACATATTGTATATTTTAAAGCAGTACCTACAACATACATGCATTTTGTATATACATGTACTTCAATACTGTTACAATATAACTTGAAAAAAGACCTTCATACTATATAAAACATACCTTGAGCTTGAGTTAGCTGACACATTCCATGTTATAGGTATTAATGAACCTCTTTGATTCCTTAACTGAAAAAATACAATCATTGGTTCCTGTGTTCCATTACAAGTCATGAATACATATCTCTCTAACTTTTTTCAGATCTAAGACCTTAGGTTTACAAACATTTACTGAAATAAAACTTACTTTGAAACAGAGTTAAACAATGAGCAGACCTCTCATAACAGAGATAATCATAATAATAAGTACTGTTTTAGTCTTGAAAATATCTGAGAAATATAACTTATTCAAAATATCAAAGATGAAAAACTTGTATATTACAACAAGAGGGGCATTATGGCCCTAGAACTCTTATCTAAGGCTGCTACACTGCTAGAAAATGTCACATTTCTTCAAAGCAGAAATATGCAAGTAGGTCACATTAAAAAAGATAAATGATGGCAGTACCTTCAGAACAATATTTTTGATATTACACAGGTCACATGACTGTAGAATGGTTTCCTTGATTTGTTTTCCAGACTGGTCTTCACTTATATCAATACAATGTACCATACCATTACCATCATCTCCTGAAATATATATTATTTCATCAATACAATACAATAAAATACATTGTAATGTACCCTTATATCAATACATTACATTAAAATGTAATATAATACCAATATATTACATTAAAATGTACCATAATTTCTCTACTGAGGTAACTTAAAAACATAAAATTTGATTTTTTTACACCAGCTTGGGTACTTAAAATAGAAAGATATATACAAAAGATAAATAAGAAATATATTAAAAAAGAGGGCCATGATGGCCCTGGGTCGCTCCCCTGACCAATCAACTGCATCCAAGCATTGTCTTAGACAAGCATCCTGGCCAAGTTTGATGACAATTGAGTCAAAAATGTGACCTCTAGTGTGTTAAAAAGGTTTTTCCATATTTGGGCAATGTGACCTAGTTTTGACCGGAAAAAACCCATATTCAAATTTGACCTAGAAATCATCAAAACAACCTTCCTGACCAATTTCCAGGAAATTTGGATCAAAACTGCAGCCACTAGAGTGTTAACAAGACAAGCTTTTTCTATTTTTAGCTCCTGTGACCTAGTTTTTGACCCGACATGACCCATCTTCTAACTTGACCTAGAAATCATCAAAACAACCTTCCTGACAAATTTCCTGAATATTTGGATCAAAACTGCAGCCACTAGAGTGTTAACAAGATTTTTCTTTTTTTAGCTCCTGTGACCTAGTTTTTGACCGGACATGACCAACCTTCAAACTTGACCTAGAAATCATCAAAACAACCTTCCTGACAAATTTCCAGAATATTTGGATCAAAACTGCAGCCACTAGAGTGTTAACAAGCTTTTTCTATTTTAAGCTCCTGTAACCTAGTTTTTGACCGTAGGTGACCTATATTCAAACTTCACCTAAAAATCATCAAAACAACATTTCTGACTGATTTCCAGGAAATTTGGATCAAAACTTCAGCCATTAGAGTGTTAACAAGCCTTTTCTATTTTAAGCTCCTGTGACATAGTTTTTGACCCGAAATGACCCATCTCCAAACTTGACCTAGAAATCAACAAAACAACCTTCCTGACAAATTTCCAGAAAATTTGAATCAAAACTGCAGCCACTAGAGAGTTAACAATTTTTTTTCTATTTTTAGCTCATGTGACCTATTTTTTGACTGGACATGACCTATCTTTGAACTTGACCTAGAAATCATCGAAACAAATTTCTTGACAAATTTCCAGAATATTTGAATCAAAACTGCAGCCACTAGAGTGTTAACAAGCTTTTTCTATTTTTAGTTCCTGTGACCTAGTTTTTCATCTGAGATGACCCATCTTCCAACTTGACCTAGAAATCATCAAAACAACCTTCTTGACAAATTTCAAGAATATTTGGATCAAAACTGCAGCCACTAGAGTGTTAACAAGCTTTTTCTATTTTTAGCTCCTGTGACGTAGTTTTTGACCGGATATTACCCATCTTTGAACTTGACCTAGAAATCATCAAAACAACCTTCCTGACAAATTTCCAGAATATTTGGATCAAAACTGCAGCAATTAGAGTGTTTACAAGCTTTTTCTATTTTTAGCTCCTGTGACCTAGTTTTTGACCGGAGATGACCCATCTCCAAACTTGACCTAGAAATCATCAAAACAACGTTCCTGACAAATTTCCAGAATATTTGGATCAAAACTGCAGCCACTAGAGTGTTAACAAGCTTTTTCTATTTTTAGCTCCTGTGACCTAGTTTTTGACCGGAGATGACCCATCTTCAAACTTGACCTAGAAATCATCAAAACAACGTTCCTGACTAATCTCAGAATATTTGGATCAAAACTGCAGCCACTAGAGTGTTAACAAGCTTTTTCTATTTTTAGCTCCTGTGACGTAGTTTTTGACCGGAGATAACCCATCTTCGAACTTGATCTGTATTTCATAGAGACAAACATTCTGACAAAGTTTGATGATGATCCAATCAAAACTGTGACTGCTAGCTGTTAACAACCCAATTGTTGACGACGAACGACACATTACTCACAATGATGGACATAGCCCCATCACTATACCTCACCTTGACCACTTCGTGGTCAGGTGAGCTAAAAATAAACTGAAAATTGTATTTTTGAGCCATTCTTGGTCCAGTTTCAGTGAAAGACCTTGAAACGCTTTTCAATTTTGGGTCATTTTTCATAATTAGAATAATCAGAGTGAGCAAATGATCTGTAATTTTGCACACAAGTTATTAATCTAGACCTATATAAAACGGCCTATTAATCTCAAAAAATTATTTTTTGTCCCCTCATGTTAAGAAACCTCTACAGAGTCCCTTTAAAATGTACCATTAAATTTTACATGAATACAACATACAACACTTTACCATTACAATATTATCATCTCCTGAAATATAACATTATAATACTTTGTACAACAATATAAAAATTAAAAGAATAACTAACTGTTTTTTTTTACATTCTATTTTTCTACCTATTGTACATTTTGTATGATTTGTAATTCAAATAGGTCAAGTATTCGAAACTGGTTACTGAAATAGCTTTATTTGATATATAAAAATGAAATTCATAATTATGTTGAAGCTAAAGAAGAAATTAAAAGCAATTAAGTTGTTGTATAAACATCCATTATATTCCTGGACAAGATTACTAGTTTTAGAACTTGGTTTCCAAATTTTTCATTCCGTTGTAATATTCCTGTTTCTTTATGCACTCATAAATTGGAAGTTCAATAAACATGAAAATAGTGATCAACTCACTTTTAAAATTAATATACACAAAAAAAGTGTAAATGAGAAATAATGCTTTTTAGAAGAAATATCTTCATTACTGTTTCGAAAGAACATAAAATTCTTGTAATAAACATTGAAGTACTGTATGCATTATTAAGAATACATTTTATAAATAAGCTGGGCTTTTTTCACAGGTTGGGGAAGCAGCACTTCCCTTAATTTTGGGGGGAAATTATTATATGGTATATTTGGAGAGAAAAAAAAACTTGATGATGGGGGGGGGGGGGGGGGGGGGGAGAGAAAGCCACCCTACTAAACAGCTCTTGCTACAGAAGGAAAAAGAGCCCTGATATTGAGAAACCCTATTTCTGGAATAAAGAATGAAAATCAAAAAGAATTATCTAACCTTTTCACTGGTTAGTATAAAATAGTAAAATAGGGAAAAATACCAGATCTGTGTTAGAAACTTCCCTTCTAATTTAAATTTTGGCCATATTTCAATAAATGTCCATTGAAAAATGCATTGATCAATGTACATAAATCATTTCTTAAATATTATACCCTTACAAACTGCCATTGTTACAGAACCATATCTCAAAGTGATTTATAAGTAGAACAACAACATAAAGGTTATCATGTTTCTAGGCTTTTACTGTTACATTATCTTGTAAAATAATTGCAGTCATTAAAACTTTAACATTGTCAGATTACTGAGATATCCGTAACAAGGCCTTCACCTAAAAGAACAAAAACAATTGAAAGATTTGTTTTATTTTGTTCTTCAATATAAAAAGTCTGTTTTCAAAAACAATTCCTGCAATAACACGCTTCAGTGCAAAAACTGTTTAGCTCCATTTTCCAGCTTCCTTCCTTTTATCCTTATCTTATGTTTCATAGAAATAATTGTTACGAAATTCATTAATGATTCAAGGCACAAAAACATGTTACAATAGCTGGCAGTCATTTGTTTGACAAACATGCAACATTCATCAATATTTTATTCTTTGACATTTTATTCCCTGCATTTGAAAATTGCCTTCTAGTATAATAAAACCCTGCAGTGCAATAATGAACACAATAAAGATGCAGAAATAACTTTCCTATGAGAATATCTGCACTTGTACAACTCTCATTAATACTGAACCTTGAGGTTGTTATAAATTATTCCTGATCCCCAGTGTTACACATTCCATTTACTGAGAATGTCATAGCATTATGTTTCTAGGTACAGTTATTACCCCTTAACCTCCAGTATTTGTATAATGGATTTTGCCTTTAAAAGAATTGGGAGCAGTCTTAAGTGCTTTTATCCTGCTATTTCCGGACAAGGCCTTGGAATGTCAAGCAGGAAATATTTTTCAATATTTTCGGAATATTTTGAAAAAGTTGAAAAACCACCTTATGCAATGAACACGACTTTTAATGTTTTTAATAGTCCCAGAGTATAATGATCATATAATATGTAATTATTTTAAGAAAAAAGTCATAACAGTTCATTTTTTTATAAGTTGAAACCAACTGATCTTTTCAGAATGTTGTAAGGAATTTATTTAATTTGGAAAAAAATCTTATTTCATAATGTGAAATGGGGCCTAATATTCCTGACTCTGGCAATATGGTGAAAATTCCCTGCAGTCTGTTTAATGTTTAGGGGATAGTGGATTTTAGTATAAAAATACAAAACTGACTCACAAAATAGTATAGAGCCTGGTCAGATTTTTTGTTTGAACCAACAGGATATATAAATCTCTGTTGTTATTCCCCAGAACTAATATGTGGAAAGTGACTTCTTTCAATAATTCTGGAAAAGGGGAGATCCCTGAACCCTCAAAAGAAACAAAAAAATAGACAGATGAAAACTGCATATATATACTAACAAAAAAGAAACTATAGATGCACAATTTAAAATGTTCGTGTTTTGTTTAATTTGATTAATTTAAGCTTGAAATTTTGTACTGGTAAATTGTGTATCCCTATTGGTCATTAAGGACATTTTCGGGAGTTTTCATATAGACATATAGGCAAAATTAAAACTGTTCAATAGAATTTCTTTAAACTTGGCATGTTGTTAGAATATGATAACAGAAACATTTTAAGTGAAAAAAAATTGGGGTCACCGTTCTCGTTTATGAGTAATCTGCCTCTGAATCAGAATTTTCTTCTTATTTGAGGTCATTTAAAGGGCAGATAACTTATACATACGTATACATACGTAAAAGAATTCTTGTTTTTAATTCTGGATAAAGTTTTTCTTTTTACTGTTGAATACAATACATAATAACATGCAGTTTCTTACATCGTTTCTGTTATTTTTTTTCAATGAAAATAAGGATATTTAAATTCTTAAAAAATAAGCCTTTTTTTTAAGAAAAAGGCCACAGGTTAAAAGAAGAAGTGGGAATAAAAACTACCCACTTTAAATTTGTTCTTGAAATTTTGTATATCAACTAAAACGAAGGTAAGCTTCATGAAAATAAGAAAAAAAATTGTATTGTTTCCCTTCATTGTAAATTATCTGCCCTTGAATTTAACAAAAAAGTCAAATTCAATGGCAGATAACTCAAAAACTAGAACGGTGACCCCAATTTTTTTTTTCGCTTAAAATGTTTCTGTTATCATAATCTAACAACATGGCAAGTTTAAAGAAATTCTATTGAACAGTTTTAATTTTGCCTATATGTCTATATTAAAACTCCCGAAAACGTCTTTAACAAGTTTCAGGACATGAGCTGCAGTTGGGTAGTTTGTTTGCCTGGCCAAAGTCTTCATTTTAAAGTGGTTTTTTTGGGGCCAAGCAGTCAATTGCAAACATATTTGTCAACTAAACCTGTGGAAAAGCATATTGTTGATATCTGTAAGACATAAAACCAGCATAATTTAGAAAAACATCTTTCACATGCCAAGGTTGTACGGAACTGACAAATGGTGGATCATGATTGAAGCTGGTGCACATTGTGGAGACAGTACACAGTAAGGGACCATTAGAGACCTGAGTCTTGGTCAAGACGTCCGATGATAATGTCAAATCATCAACATACATACAACTGAGGATTGTTCATCTGAGTGATATACTCAGAACTTCTAGTGTGACAGACAAAAATATTCCTGGCTATTTCTAAGGGTGAGTCCAAATTACATCATAACAGCAGCAAGGATTGTTCTAGAGTGTACTGTCGTGTTGACGAACATTTTCTAGGTTTACCTGGTCAAAGATTTCTTTTAGCAAAATCAGTGTGATCTTAAGATAAAGAGTCCACTGAAGTTTTTAAGGGGTCCCTATATAATAAATACGGCCCATAATATCTAAACAGAATTTTAGCTACTGAAATCAATTATATATTGTTGTAGGCTTCTTTTTTAAGGAGAGCCCTATTAGGGATAAGTTGTAAAGTTTGTTAATTGGGTATCTTGAATAGAAAAGGTGCCAAATTATACAGAAGATCAAATTTTATTTATACAAAAGTTACCAAATTACTATTAAGGAATGGAAATACTACATCAAGGTTTGTTTTAGATGCACTACTTTCCCTGCTGCAGTGCATAAGGGAAAACTCTGGATTTCATACAAATTTTTTATCAAAATAGCAAAACATGGGTTTGAAAATTCTGAGGCAAAATAAGCGATAGAAATGGCTAAAATGTCTAATGGTACTAAGAGTGAGCTAGCCAAAAGTTCTAGCTGTACGTGAGTCACGTACGACTAGCAAGGACACACTGTATTGGCTACCCGTACGGCACTTTTCAAAATTATATAGAAGTCGAAAATGCATATGTTATTTCATGACTTTAAGCTAGGATTTTAACCAAGAAACAGCAAATGTCTCCGTATGTTTACTTTTAAATTTAGAGATTATTCGCCTTGTTGGCTACAGTGAGACTGAGTAAAGAAAGTATGAATATCTATCTTTGTCATCTCAAGACGTCGAGAAAAAATAGTGTTTGGTTGCAGTTAAATAACATCAATTGGAATAGTTTACAAAATTTTGATAACAATCCTTTTTTGTTTCATTAAGTTTAATTTTTGAATTGAAAAAACAAAACAAAAAAAAAAAACACCGAAAATAATTGTTGTTAGGCTCTGATAATTGCGTCAATTACCCACGGTATAGAAGTTTGTCCATCATTAAGGAATGTTTGCATGTTCTGTGAAACACATTCTAAAATTCTATTGCCAGTCCCTGGGTAGGCTTTAATTAAGGCTAATTAATTGATTGTGCTTTTATGTTTGATATTTATCTATATTTGAAAATTATTAAATTATTTTTGATTTCACCGGTTTTTTTGTGTTTTTTTTCCAATATTCTTTTTTATTTATTTATTTATTCCCCTTCAATCATTATTTATTCGATCCATGTGCTTTAAATTAACAAAAATGATTTAACAATTCATCTTTCATACAAATAAAACAACAAATCATAAGCATGAAAATCAAGGATGTTTTAACTTATAACATGCATCATTGACACTTATATCAAGATAGATTATACAACGCTTGTTCGTATTCATTTTTGTAACAAAATGGGGGAGCATCTTTATTAAAGTGAACACACTAGGACAAATCACTTAATGTGGAGACTTGATTAAAATCCTATTTAAAGACAAAAAATAACATATGCATTTTCGACTTCCATATAATTTTGAAAAGTGCTGTACGGCTAGCCAATACAGTGTGTCCTAGCTAGTCGTACGTGACTCACGGGCCCGTACGGCTAGCCACTTCCATGATTTATAACAGTCACCTTGCATACATGTCACTAGCTTAAGGTCTTGCCGCATCTGATGAAAAACAAAAATGTTAAAAAGCGGCTTATATAGTTTTGGAAGCCAGAACTAACATTGGCTTTTACTGGGTCGAAATGACTTAGGGCCGGTTGATATAACATTGTTTTAATCTGACGGTTCCAAACGTAATATGAAAACAGATGATGTAGATATGCCAGCGTAAATTAAAAAGACTGTTGATTATGAATCCAAACACCTATTTTTTCTGTTTACCTGTATCTAATCGTTTTAATCGAAGCCAGATTTTTTTCTTTCCAATGTCGGCCATATTTGTTTACTTTCAGTAGGCTAAAAGCTACTAAATAAATATAGAAATGTTTATGAAGCTATTTTGTGTTCCTTATTTATATTTTCAAACCTTTATATTGGTTTATGTGTCAATAGTATTCTTCAATGTGTATATAAAATGGGCGGAAATCAGTTATTTCTGAGTATAAAATGAAATATATTTATAGATATTTAGTCTTTCACAACCCTTGTTCATATTTCACAAACTATCATTATTACGAATTCACTTTACGTCACGAGCACCTGCTTTATTGTTGGTAACAAATATGGCGGCGGAAGACGATTCCGATATTCCTGGTGAAACTTTATTCAGTTTATGCAATGTCTTTCCTTATGAACACGATTTAACCGTCTCTGCGTCAAAAGAATATGAACAAATTTCATAAATAATATCAGTCATTACATTTTGATGTCAAACCAGTTTGCATTTGCAACGAAATGATAAGTGGACCATTTTTTTCATGTCTAAACTTCTCTCTTTTTTGGAGTTGGTCACTTTTACAAACGCTTTCATAACCTGTTTACCTTGTTGCATCTGTAGTTTTCTGTATCCATTGTAAATATGATCGGGTTATTCATCCAGGGGTTTGAAAATTGAAAATTCGAGTCTTTTTTTAAGGGATAGGAGGCTGTGCATGAATTGAGTTGAAAAAGATACACCTTTTAAATCAGTCATAATATTAAATATGTTATCAGTTTTTTTTATTAAAGTTTTTGTATAGTACTCTTTGCCAGTACCACATCCTGCAGATATTGCAGTTTCCAAACATGTCAACTCATTGAGCTTCGGTCTATAAACATTGCAAATTGGCTTAAAAGTTTTTGCCTTTAGTTATAGACTTAAAGATGGAAATATCTGTGCACTTTTAAGTGTCAGTACTAGTAAAAAGTCAATGAGTGTTATTAAGTCCCTTTTCATTCTAACAGATTTACGGTAATACTAAGTACCACTGTAGTACTTAACTTTACCCAAAAGCACTACCCTGGATGCAAATTTTCTCAGACATCCAAAATCGAAATCTGTATTAGTATTACTGTATGTACAAGGTGTAGGGGCTGTAATGAAGGTGCTTAATCTTAAAAGGCAGAAAAAAGATTGCTAAAAACACCATATTACCCTTACATGATTTGTGCCCAAACTGAAATTAATACACATCTTATTTTTATTTGATAGTCTCTTGTACATGATACTACATCACATCATCAGTTATACACCGATCATTTATGATACCATGCATAACTACCCACTTTGTGGATTATGCGGAATAACAAAAACTTTTCATTGAAATCAGGAAATCTGAAGTACTTTTTCATTCAAACAGTCAGATTGTTAAGTCTATACCAAAGACCTACCATACCTGTTAGACATCCTAACTTTCCTTGGAATCTGTATATGGCAATAAGTGCTTTTAACAAAGTAATAAATAAGCTTTTAACAAAGTAATGATAATAGTATAAAATATGTAATTATTGTAATGATATTATTATATTTCTTGATAAAGGTTACAAATGACAGGTGCATTGTGATTAAAGTAGTATTACTTGATAGAAGTGTTTATTTATTAAAAATAATTTTTTTTTTTTTTTTTTTTTTTTTTTTTTGTAGATTCTGGAGCTGTCTTTACATTTGGCAAAAGCAAGTTTGCTGACAATTTGCCGAACAAGTTCTGGGTTAGGAATGACCGTGTACGTGATGTGGCATGTGGAGATGAACACACAGCATTGGTTGCAGGTATACAAATATAGACAGTATGAATTATATCTACCCTGACAGTCTTTATGTAAAGATACTGACCTACTTGTATACAAATTATCAGTGGGATTGATCAGAAGTAACTGTTCAGTCTGTGCAAAAGTGCAAGGATAGGAGTGAAAAATTGATACTACATTTGTGCAGATTCAACGGGATATACCCTGTGCATCATCTGAAATGTTACAAATGGACTGTGCAGCATTAAGAATATTGAAACTACTAATGCTTCATTTCATATATATTACTTTTGACAGATCGCAGTGGTTAGTTGAAGTAATACCTAAATATGCATTTTTAGCTCGACTTTTCTATGAAAAGGGGAGCTATCCTACTCGCCCCGGCGTCGGCGTCGGCGTCACACCTTGGTTAAGTTTTTCGTACCACCCCACTTTATTTCAGAAGTATTACAAGTATGGCTTTGAAACTTACCATACTTGTTCACCATCATAACCTCCATCTACAGACAAGAGTACATAACTCTGTCAAGGTTTTTGACAGAATTATGGCCCTTTTTTTGACTTAGAAAGTGTATTGAGCTTGGTTAAGTTTTTTGTACCACCTCACTTTATTTCAAAACCATTGGAGGTATTGCTTTGAAACTGACCATACTTGTTTACCATCACGACCTTCATCAACAGACAAGAGGACATAACTCTGTCAAGGTTTTTGACAGAATTATGCCCCTTTTTGACTTAGAAAATACATTGAATATGGGTAAAATCCACTTATTGCCTTAACCCTTTGAGATATTGCTTTGAAACTTTTAATGCTATTTCACATCATTACCCCCATCTGTACGCAAGAGAAGGTAACTCTGTCAAGGATTTGTTTTAAAAATTAAGGCCTTTTATCGACTTAGAATCTTGGTTAAGTTTTTAGTACCAGTCCACTTTTTGACTGAACTGTTTGAGATATTAATTTGAAAGTTGGAATACTTGTTTACAATCATGATTCCCAAACATGTCCAGGAGAAGGTAATTCTGTCAAAGATTTTATTTGAATTATGGCCCTTAACTGTCAATGTTTTGTATTATAGGCAAGCACTAAAAAACTTAAAAAATCTAAAAAAATTCATTCCTATCCACTTGTTCACTTTACCATAAATTATGTCATATAAACAGCCTGTGTGAAAGAGATCCACTTGTGACCAACTGACAACATCTAAAAAAGCTTGATAAAATTTATCTATTACTTGTATTATAAGGTAACTATAATACTTTCACATACAAAGTCAAATCTATATATTATGCTGATTGTACAAAAATATACTGCTTCCTTGGCATAGATTTCTTGAAAAATTATGTTATTATGTCATTTACCAAGGTGTTCTGAGTGACGTAAAAATACCTTATTCTCTCAAAGTGGGTTTAATACTATTAAATTTATTTAAGGCTCAACTCAGTTTTTTTTTCTTTCTTACCAGCCCTCTTTTGACTTAAACATTTCAAACTTTGCTGCAGTGTTCAAGGGTATCACACAATTCAGTAAAATAATTCTTCACTAAATATCTTAATGCTCATGGCCATTGTTCACTATAAAAATACAGAGATTCTTGTATTGCCTTTTACTGCAAAAACTTTTTTTATTGGCAAGCAATAAAAAAGTCGAGCGCGCTGTCTTACGGACAGCTCTTGTTACCATACCCATTACTGCATTATATAATAGAAAGAAGGTGAGTGTACTAATATATATTTCAGAGACTGGGAGAGTATTCACATTTGGTTCCAATGATTGGGGTCAACTTGGTCTGGGAACCAGTAAAACAGCTGATAGGCCAAGCTGTATCAAATGTAAGTTGCTTTTAATTTTAATTTCCTTAACAAGAAATTTAGAATCTGTTTGAACTTTGAAGTTTATCTTTATAAAAAAACTGCAGACAGTAAATTGTTCTTTAAATTTGACTAAGCATACTATTCTTTTTTTCTTTTTTTTTGACTTGACTTGTAAGCTGATAATTTAGCAGCAATATTACCAGTATTTGTATTTTATGGCATTACCATTTATTAAACATGTAGGTTCTGCGACCATAATTTACATATTGAGCCACAAATGACACTGAAACTGATATATTCTAGTTATAGCACATGTTTATGCCCTAATTGTTTTGGTGAGGTATATAGATTTGCCCTTGTCAGTGTCAGTGTGTCATGATATCTATCTGTATACTTACAAAACAGTGGAATATGGGGGCATCCATGTCCTATGATGTCCAATGAACATACATTGTATGTCTAGTTTAATGTTTATTTTGTAATATTTTAAATGACTAATGCTTGCATTTTAAAGCATTAAAGACAGAGAAAGTGAAGCTTGTAGCATGTGGAAGAGTTCATACAATTGTTGCAACAGGTAAGTTGTAATTCTTAACATTTCTAAGCAGTATCTTTAGTCTTTATAAGTTTACATTTAACTACTTCATTTTCTGTTTTAAACTATTTTAGTGCCATAATTTTACTATGGTATCATTATTATTTTGATATTATCTTTTTATATTTACAAAATATGTTTTTAAAGAAAGTAAAATTTCTCTTATAATTTTTATTGTGATTTTCATCAGCTATCATTGTTGAAGTATGTGTACAGATACTTCAGTGCATATCTGGAAATAATCACTATAGTTTGACAAGAGCTACAAATATCCCCTTGTTTTTTAGATAGAATGAGAATATTATACTGTATCAGCTATGACTTTATAATCTTTAGTGAAGATGAAGTTTGGCATCAGTGTTGTGAAGTTTAAACACTAGCTTATTTATAGCGTGCTATTCAACTTATTGTACTCAGTCTTGGGCCAGTGTCACCATCACACTTTTGGGAAGATTTGCGTGCAAATTAATTTGTATCTGAGTATTCTGAAAAACAACTTAATTGGTGGGGTAGAAATTTACTCACTGGTTCTCTATGATTATCTTCCATGATGGGAACAGGTCCCGTAACTCTGAGTTACCTTTTTACAGAGTTATGCCTCTTTACTTACAGTCAACCCTTTGTCTTACAAACAACTGTTGTTGATATAAGTACTTTCATATTCATCGAAGAAAATATATTGTTTACAGAATCAGGGAAGCTCTATTCATTTGGTGCCAATGGTGAGGGTCAGCTGGGTGTAGAAGATTCTCCAGCTAGCAATGTTCCTAAATGTATTGACAGTCTAGTAGAGCAACAGTATAGAATGTTAGCAGCAGGGGCAGATCACTCTGTAGCTCTCACAGGTGGGCAGCAATTTAAATATTAAACTTAAATTTAAAGTTGGTTTTTCGTCTGTTAATGCAAGGTTTGCTGCTACACACTTTGAATTGCACTATGATGTACTACAAATTGTACTAATTCGGACATCTAAACACATGCAAGCAATCCGGGCCGCTCAAAGGGGCTGGATTTTCTCTTGAAGGTTTCAGGCATCTTAAAAATATCTGTTTAGATAAAAGTTTTTGGTTCAGCAGTATTTTCTGAAGATATTTGACTGTTCAAATTTACACAAATTTCTTTCAATACATATCATGCAGCTTGTTATTTGCCTGTATATTTCTCAAATACATGTTTGATAAGTTTATTTATTCAATTGATGTAGATTAAACTAGATAAAACACCTTCTAGGAATAATCACTCACTTTATATTCATATTTTGTAGAGGATGGTGCAGTATTTGTGTGGGGTGGGGGAAGTGAAGGACAACTTGGTCTAGGGGGTAAGACAGAATGTCCAGACCCAGAAGAATTGCAAATAGAAGATGTGGTCACTTGTATATCATGTGGTTATTATCATACAGCACTTGTCACTGGTAAGTCATTATATCCTACTTTAATTTGGGTGTTTCTTAAAACTATTGGCAGGGTTTTCATTATTAACATATTGGCAATTCATATCATCGGTTGAAATGCTGTTAAAATCGGTTGTGATTTCAGTCTGTAGACTAAAATATCCCTCTTGACCATTGTCCAAAATAGTTGTTTTTGCTGGCACATCTGTTGCCTGAAATAAAATTGAAAACCCTGCATTGGTACATGTTTTTACGCCTTTGCCTGAAGTTCACCTTAAAGCACTCTTCTTCTATATAAAACCAATTAGATTAATGCTGGATTAGGAATTTCTGGCTTTCTGACATTTTTAACTTGTACCCATGCTTTAAACAGATATTAAGCATTAATCATTAATTGTTTCTGTCAAATAAATAAGGTACTAAATCTGCCTATCATATGTCTTATGTATCATTATTGCACATGATCAATATATTTCACTTCTGATATTTTTAAGATCAATGAAGTGACTTGCCCTTGACATTATATCATACTTTGTATTATAATTATTAATATAGAAGATATCATTTTATATATTGTGTATTATAGAATCAGGAGATTTATACACATTTGGAGAGAGTGAGGGTGGTAAACTAGGGTTGGGTGATGACCCTGATGAAACAGATACTCCACAAAAGGTTGATATACCTGAAAAAGTCATATCAGTGGCGTGTGGTGGGTCACATACTTTAGCTGTCACAGGTAATATTAAATACACATAAGTTTAAGTTTGTTATGTAGACATTTTTCATTAGCTTGGTTTTGTGAGTGATATAAGTGGTTATAAAGTGGAAAGTGAACAATTTTTATTCACTGAAGAAGACATGTAATGTTATGATACGTCATATGATTTGTTTACTATTTTGTCTAATGTGATGTCAGAAGGTGACAATCCATAATGTTGAAGCGTTACAGTGTAAGTAAATATTCATACAGCAGACAACATCTGACAAAATCACATTTAGTTGGATCTTAAATATGTGGATGGACATATCCCTTAAAATGCTCCACGAATGGTAATAATGATTTTGCAGTTGTTATTCTGATTGAAATGTTTGTCTATTAGATGTGGGAAAGTGATACATATAATTATTATTCTACCCTATGACTTTTGTTATGATTTGGTAATTGCTTCTTATATAATTATGTTATACAAAAATGATTCGGGGAGCTTGGATATATCAAGATATTTTTAAGATTTGTACCTAATTTAATATGTAACTTTCATTAATAAGTAAGTATAGGTAATCTTTGACACAGGTTACACATTTATGTGATTTCAGAAAGTGGCAATGTCTACACATTTGGAGATGGTGCAAGTGGCCAGCTAGGTCATGGAACACATTTTTTACAAATATCTACGCCAAGAAAACTTAATATTAATTTTAAAGTGAAATATGCATCATGTGGTGAAAGCCATTCTTCTCTTATATCAGGTAAGTTGTATTATTGTCTATGTCTTAATAGTGTCACTGGTCAATTTATTTGTTATGTTCAATGTTCACAATGCCATGTGCTGTTTGTCAATAAGGTGCGGGGGAACTTATACTTGTTCCTTAACATACGCTTATTAGCAGAAATTCAAGTATACATTCGGGACAATTCAAATCTGTTTGTATCTCTTGCAATTTTGTGAACTGTTTCTTTATGTCCAGTTGTGTTGTATGTTTTAATAAAGGTATTTTAGAAGAAGTTTTACATTGGTTTTTAACATTTCCTTAGTTTTAGTGTTTTTCTTTTCTTTTTGCATCAAACAATCTAAAGATATGTACTGCCAGAACTTTTATTGTAGAATAACAATGTATTTGTCTGGATACCTTTTAAGAAGTAAAGGAAACACTAAAACAGACTTGCGCTAATTTTTCACATCATGTATATGAAATATAGTCACCTGAGTGCAGTAACGGGTTAAGTCTTTCTAAATTTAATAGGAGTTAACCAGTTATTGCACAAAGGTGATGATATATAAAATGAACCAAGCAGAGACAAAATAATTTTTATTCCAACTTAAAACCAAAGATTTCTTAACTCGTTTTCATATTCAATAACCCTCAGGTTTACCTGTCTTGTTAGCAGATAGTCTAAATAATACTATGAGAGGGATAGGTATGACATGATTTTTTTTTTTTTTTTTTTAGATTTTCCAACTTGTATCATTAATGTGAAGGTAATATATGTTAAGTATGAAATAATATTGATGATGTTTATATCTATATTGCAGATAAAGGTCAGTTATACACATTCGGGGATGGAAGACATGGGAAGTTAGCGTTAGGACAAGAAAGTTTTTCTAATCAATTTATACCACTTAGAGTGAAAAGATTTTCAAAATTTACTGTACAAAAAGTAAGTACTAAAGTTCTTTAGTACTATCTTTGATTCTTATTATTATTTTCCTGCAGTCGCTGTTTGATGCAATATATTGTAACCTTTTGCATTGCTAGATATCATAGATATCATTTCATTTCTTATACTTATCATTCATTGTTTTACCCTTAATTATTTAGCAACTAAATCCAGTTCTGCACAAAATTACAAGATATTTTTTAGCAAACTACACTGTACTTTAAATATGTTGTAATATGCTAGATATATACTTGTATAATAATTACTGCCCTTGTATATAGCGTCGGTGATTTATATATATTGTTCCTATGCACAGGTAATGTGTGGAGGGTGTCACATGATATGTTTAGCCAAACCAAATAGAGAGGATGATAACCAGTTTAGTTCAGATGATGAATTGATAGGGGAACCAAAGTTAAATGGAATGCTCAATCATAGTCTACGAGCTGATGGTTCTATAGACCTTAACAACAGTGTTACAGCAAGAGATAGGCGGAGAAAAACCAACGAATCTGTAAGTGTAACATAATGTTTCCCTTGTGTTGTCTAATGCTTCCATTGTTTACCCTTCATGTTTCACTTAGGAGGCTTATGTTCTATAGTTCAGACTTTTGTTCATGAAAATTTTTGTTATTTCGGAATATTCAGATTTGTCTGATTTAAGTATTTTTTCTATATGTGCTTTAAACATAGATTTTAGAATTAAATGAGTCTTATAAGAAATTTGGGGAAATATAAATGTATAAATGAAATAATCTTGTTTTAAGTTTATTCAATCTTTTTCATTTTAGTTGTACATACACATAGTTTTAATTCTCTTTGTTTAAGTTGTTGTGATTCTATCTCTGTTAAAGTTTTAATTCTCTTTGTTTAAGTTGTTGTGATTCTATCTCTGTTAAAGTTTTAATTCTCTTTGTTTAAGTTGTTGTGATTCTATCTCTGTTAAAGTTTTAATTCTCTTTGTTTAAGTTATTGTGAAACTATCTCTGTTAAAGTTTTAATTCTCTTTGTTTAAGTTATTGTGAAACTATCTCTGTTAAAGTTTTAATTCTCTTTGTTTAAGTTGTTGTGATTCTATCTCTGTTAAAGATATTGTTTACAGAAGTGCTGTGGTTCTTCTTGGGAGTAAACTGCCTGAAATTATGCAGAAATGAGTATCTGCCTAAACTAGTAATACTAGAAAGTCGCTATTTTTATTATTCATTGTGTACCATTGTCTAGCATATGTACCATTTATGCAAGTACATTTATGCAGGTACAAGTAAACTATGTGAACTTCATGTCGGCCTTTTACAAAATGACTGATATTCAGGTATTATGTGCTCCATGTTTTTTTCATGTACTTAAAAAGATACTAAAAATTTCCATTACAGTTTAAAAATGATTTAAACCGTACCTTGCCACCCCTGGCTGGTGCTCACAAGGTACCATCAGAACATTTACACCAGACCGTCCCAGCACCAAAGTCACGCAGAATAGAGTCAGCTCCTTTACAAAAACAACCAGGTAAAATATAGTTAACTTATCTTACAACAGCCACCGGAAAATCTTTGCACCACCGGGATAGTGGCAAACTTCACTACCATTTATAATTGCCCTAAACACTTAAAAATCATTTCATCTGATAGATTTAATGTTAATTATAAATAATTGACTTCATTTTAATCTATTTTAAATTTTTTTCTTATCAAAAATTGTATTTTAAAAAAAAATCCGGGCGGAAATTCATGTATTCCGCCCGGAATTATGCTGTCCGGCCGGAATTTACTTATATTCCAATTGGAATTTTTTCCAACATTATAATTTATTCCAACGGGAATTTCAATTTTTCCAGCAATGCTTAAACTATAAAAATAACCATTCATACATCCTTTAATGACTTTCTGACTAGTTTTGAAGAACTTATTCTCTAAAATAAAAAAATCCCATTTTAAAAGCTGGAAAAAATTCCGACTGGATTTTTACAGAAAAATTTAAAAAAGCATAAAAGCGATAATAATTAAAGGCAAATGATAGTTTTCGATAGAAATTAACATAATTATACACCCTGAATTACCAATAAGGTGCTTTGAAAAAAATGAAAATCCGATTGGATTTATTTCCAATTATTTTTGTTGGAAAAAATTCCAACTGGATTTTTTTTCCAATAAAAGTTATTGGAAAAAAATCCAACTGGATTTTCATCAAATGATTCATTTTCAAATTATTTTACAGTTATACATTTAATTTTCTTTTAATAAGAGATTACGAATTATTTATAACTATTTATGATACATAATAATAATAGTAATAATTATAATAATTATAAAAATAACAATAATAATAATAATAGATATTAATAATAATAATAAAAATAATAATGAAAACAAGGAAGAAGAATTAAATTCCATGATGCGATTATAATTTATATAATCATTACTTTAATTATTATTATAAGGATTATTATCATTATAATTATTATTATTATTATTATTATTATTATTATTATTATTATTATTATTATTATTATTATTATAGTTACTATTATATTGATTATTTTTGTTTTTAGTATTACAATTATTATTATTATGATTATTATGATTACAATTATTATTATTATTTTTATTATAATTATTATTATTATTATTATTATTATTATTATTATTATAAATATATATTTTTCTATTATTAACGATTGTTATTATTATTATTATTAGTAGTAGTAGTAAAAATTATTATTGTAATTTTTATTTTTATTAATATGTTTTTATTATTTATTATTGTTTTTAATCATTATCTTAATTTCTATTATTGTTATTATTATTATATCTATGTTATGATTCTTATGATTATTATTACATTATAATTATTATTATTATTATTATTATATTTTATTATTATTATTATAATTATAATTATTATCATCATCATCATCATCATCATCATCATCATCATCATCATCATCATCATCATCATCATTATTATTATTATTATTATTATTAT